ATCTTACAGTATACACACTAAAACATGTGAATCCACTGATCTTTTGGAACCAACAGCATCTTTAAAAATTATCAAAACATTTTTAACCCTGCCACATTCTTTATCCGCCAGTGCCTGTCCCAAGTCTGGAGCCTGCAGTTCAGTGGATGTTGTTAGTTGATGTCAGTCATATTTGTTTTTCGTAAATTGTTTTGTTTTAAATTTGGCCGTTAGTTTTCTCAATAATTAATTGTTTCATATTTTTCATAAAGGGAGTTTTTATAGTCGGCTATACGGTAAGGATAATTCTAACATGACGTTCTTCAAACGCTTAGAGTACACACCCGTGGTAAAATATGAATATATTGTTTGGGCTGTTCCCATCTTACTCCCGCGTCAAATGCTGTTTTATGAATGAGCTACCCGACGTCATAGAATGATGACGTAAGAATATAAGCATTTAACGTGAAAATACAAGCTTGTGAAACTGAAAATCATCACAACAAGGAAACGTTAACAAACGATGCTAAAATGTGTTATATAAGCCATTTTTTGTTTACATATTAGACATATAAATACAATTATCATTTAGATTCAATATAACCTATCTAAATATGTTTAGGGTCTATCGCTCAGAGTAAAATATTTGTCATAAAGGGCCAACCCGTGGTAAAATCAAAATATATTCAAGCCCCCATAAATTATTTCTTAATTTCTCATTGTTGAAGGCCATACGGTTGCCTATAATTGCTTACATCCACTTTATTTGAACTTTGGTGAATAGTTGTCTCATTGGCAATTATACCACACCTCATTATTTTTATCGATATTATAAAGATCCAGACCCACACTACCTAAACCCTTGCCCTAATTCTGACCCCTAAAATCTACTCTACATCGTACATGTATTATAACTGAATTTACATGTCTCAGCTGTTATTACATAGTAATATAGATTATTTCAATCTAAAAACAATATATCATTACATTCCCTGATTAGTACAACGTGTTACTTGACATTTATATACATGTTTATTGAATGGCAGTTAAATAAATGACACTTTTCCTACAGGCCATTTTTCCATCATCAGTGTAAAATAAAGTCATTTTGGGATTCAAATTCATTAAGTGGAAAATGGAGTAAGATCATAAGTGTTTCTCGTTTCTGGTTTTTTATATAGATTAGGCCGTTGGTTTTCCCATTTGAATGGTTTTACACTAGTAATTTTTGGGGCCCTTTATAGCTTACTGTTCGGTGTGAGCCAAGGCTCTGTGTTGAAGAACGTACTTTGACCTATAAAGGCTTACTTTTATAAATTTTGACTTGGATGGAGAGTTGTCTCATTGGCACTCATACCACATCTTCTTATATCTATCTATATATAATATAATGATTATTAATTTGAAAGGCATTTATTGACAGTAACACAGCCAAATGGACATATCAGAACTCATTGGCACATCCAGGGGAAGGTGTTCTAGGGGTTGGAACCCCCCCCCACTCCTCCTTTTTCAATTTTTTTTTCTTTTTAACTGTTTTTTTTTTTTGTTAAATAAATGTTGTTTAATGATGTTCGCTACTCTGTTTCAAAATAACAAGCTTTTTAAGAGACTGTTATAAATTGATAGAATACAAACAAAAAAGATAAAAAAGCTTAAAAAATAAAAGGTCAGTGTGCTTGTTTTGAAAATTTGGCAGGAAATGATTCTCTCTGGATTTTCCCTACATTTAACACTAGTACCTTTTTTCTTTCAAAAACTATGAAAAAATAACTAGGATTTTATAAAATTTTCAATAATGGCCTTTTAAACTATATGTAATAAAATTATGAAAAGAAAAGTAGGGGTTAGTGGGCAAAATTTTTTATGGCACTACATGGATAAAACCAGAGGATTCCGAATATCTGGCAAAAATTCAATAACAAGAGGAGCGAACATCCTTAAAAGATAACATTTCTATATGGAATTTACTGTCTGCTCAAATTCATTGCTAAGTTGGCAAATTAAATTTTGTCTTGTCCATCCACACCCTATATTACCAGGTCAATGCCACTGCTGGTGGACGTTTCGTCCCCGAGGGTATCACCAGCCCAGTAGTCAGCACTTCGGTGTTGACAATATGAATATCAATTATATGGTAATTTTTATAAATTTCCTGTTACAAAACTTTGAATTTTTCGAAAAACTAAGGATTTTCTTATCCCAGGAATTGATGACCTTTGCTGTATTTGGCACAACGTTTTGGAATTTTGGGTCCTCAATGCTCTTCAACTTTGTACTTGTTTGGCTTTATAACTATTTTGATCTGAGCGTCACTGATGAGTCTTATGTAGACAAAACGTGCGTCTGGCGTATTAAATTATAATCCTGGTACCTTTGATAACTATTTGGGTACAGAAGATTCAATAGATAACACAGATCAAAATATACTGTACACAATAGCCAAAACAATTGCTTTAATAATTGCTGAATACACAAATACTTTTATATCTGCCATTCCAATAGATGGTTATAGTGGACAATACATTGTCACATAGCGTGGAAATTTCAGGTTGCATACAGTAATACTGTTAAACTCTTAATTATTCGGTTGACTGCACTGTCAATCAGCATTCAACCACGACAAAGATCATCCTTTTCTTTTTATTAATTTTTCCATTACTCATATTAAAAAAAACCCAAATAAATAAAAAGATAAATGTCTCATAAAAATATCAATAACTGCTGTTCAATTGAGTGTCTTATATACTATATATCTGTTGATAAAAATATCAAACTTAGTTATTTCCCTTTGACCACCAACTTATCACTGCTAACTAATAAAGATTCCCTCCCCCCCACCCCCACCCCCCTTTCCTGAATTATTACACAAAATTCCACATGAAATTAAATGGTGGACTTGAGTGAATTATAGTACTTCATTATCAGTGAGTGTACCACTATATGTATAAAATCTTGCTTGGAATATCTTTACTTACTCCTCTACCTGCTTCCAAATAAAATTTTGCATGTACAGTATTCCTTATTTTCATACACCCAATTTCTAACACTAACAGATTTTACCAAAGTTTCACTTAAAACTATTAAAAGTTAAGAAATCTGTTTGTTTATTCTAATAAAATTTTCCTTTTGATTGTACTTTTTTTTTCGTTTTGTCTCATCCTTTGATCTTTCTGTCAGAGATATCATGTTATACATTTATACAGTTTGTATCTAGAAAAACCTTAGCAGGTCAGCTTTGAAATTAATATTGTAAAAATGTACTTATAAATACTAATAGCTATATTATATATTTATACAGTTTGTACCTAGAAAAACCTTAGCACGTCAGCTTTGATATTAATATTGTAAAATGTACTTATAAATACTAATAGCTATATTATATATTTATACAGTTTGTACATGTATAGAAAAACCTTAGCATGTCAGATTTGATATTAATATTGTAAAATGTACTTATAAATACTAATAGCTATATATTTTCATGTTCTATTTCAAATACTATAATGAGATTGGAATTAGAGGTAAGGCCACCCTGAACAAATTCTTTGTTTGATGTTGCCTACCCATGCCTTGTAGGGTTGGGTAGGCAGGTAAGGGATTTTGGGGGTTTTTTTTTGGCCAACAACATAAGTTACTTGTTCAAGACAAGAAAACGTCATTTAGAGCAAGAAAAAAACATTTTTTAAAAATTTGAAATCATTTGGGTCATAAAATTTTTTCGGGTAGGCTGCTGCTTCGATGGGTAGATAGGCAACATCAAACAATTTTATTTTTGGCCTTAAGATCAATTTAAGATGCAAAAATGTCCTTGGAATACTGGGTCATTGGTTTCATTCTTTTCAATATGCATTAAATATTTCCCTCTGGACTTTAAACAAACAGGAATGCACATGTTTTGTCGTGCTACGCGTGCATACCCCACTCATAATTCAAATTATTTGAAAACAGGAAGAAGATGTCTGATTAAAGTCCAAACTTCACACACCCATAACATTTACTCATTTCTTAGCTGCTGATTAAATATGATGTCATTCTGTTCAGCAGTAATTAATTGGAGAAATGTGTGACCTAAAATTTCAGATCCTTCAACATATTGAAAAATTCAAAGTTCTGCCAACAGGAAGTTGGTATCTGGACAGATCTGAAAAGTACTTATACACTTCAAATTATAAATGACAAGATGACCAAACAGCAAGTCAATAGGTTTAGTTTCTGAAAAAGAATGTGACGAAATTTTGTGTAGGGTTAACAGACAGACACAGTGATTGCAATGGACCATTCCATTTAATACCTGTAAAAGAGGGGTGTGGATGGTAACCTTGTTTTAAACCCTCAGATACCAAATCATGCCATCATCTCCTCATTTTTACAATTTATACAAGAAAAGAACCATTAGAAACAAAAAATGGGTACCTTTCAGATATATTATGAGCCAATCGGTACCCCTAAGAAATTACTTTTGATACCCTTAGAAAAAAATCATACACCCCTCCTTTTCTGATATCAAATGGAATGGTCCAATATATCCCAACTCCTAGAGTGAGGGTATAACCTCAATCAGACAATCATTTGGTTGGTTCAATTTTTTTTTGAAAAACTTTTTTAACAAGTTAATGGCAATAACTTATAAATACGAAGCAAACAAAAAGTAAAACTTTATCAAAGTCACTATGTAACACTGTGATCTATAGTCATTTTGAAATGTTGTGTCAATGAAATCAGTGCACTGCTCCCTGATAAAACATAACCAACTAAAGCTGTTCAAAGATTAATAGGAACCACAAATCTTGAGCTGAAAACACGTCAGTCCCCATTATAAAACATGTCAGTCCCCATTATAAAACATGTCAGTCCCCATTATAAAACATGTACAACTATTGAATAAAGAATATTTTATGGGTACAGACTATTTTTACAGTGGCATCCAACTGCAAACAGATTTTCAATACAACAGAGGAGGTGCAGGAAACTTGGATTGAACAGTCAAATTTGTCAAGACTGACTGGTATCCAACTTACCTGAATAGATACAGGTACCCAGCTGATGCTATGCTAAACAGAATCACCTGAAATTATAAAATAAGATACGTTAAGTGTATATGTGAGCTCTATTAAAATAAATGGAGAATGTGTCCATGATGCACCGCTTGCATATAACATTGTAAAGGGACATAACTCAAGAACTGTAAAAGTGAGTCACCACCCAAATTCGAATTTGTTCTGAGTTTTGTGGTACGTAATAATCATTGTGTATTAGTTTCATAACATTTGTTTAAGGCAAACTAAAGTTAAGAGAAAGGAAACCAATTTCAGGACAAACATACGGACAGATGTACATTGAACAAGGGCAACACTTAATGCCCCCTCCACTACCGTGGGGGTGTAAAAACCAGATCCCTAATTTATATTAAATATGCAGATGTCAGGATATGTGAATTGTGAACATTAGGTCATTTGCATGTTGGCAATGAACAGCATTTTCTTTTAAGTTGTAGAATTTCCTGATGGTAATAATGTTCTATGAGGGAGGGAGGTAACTCAAAGATCAGGAAAACTGATGATCCATATAATTAAAATGTGTAAATGGGTTCCACAGAATCCTGTGCTTGTGTCTCTCCTGCAATTACTACTGTCAGATTTAAAGTAAAATGTTAAACTGTCGAAAACTTAGTCCATTTATCAGTAAAATACAGAAAAATATAAAAAATTTAAACATTTTTTCTTCAAATGCTATTTCTTAATCTTGAAGAAGCTTCTGTCCCATAATGAAGGTTTGACATTTAAGTCTGGAGAATCAAACTCAGTGGGAGTACCTAGGACAACAGAGAATTTTTTTTCAAATAGAAAACCTGGATGAATCAAAACAATTTCAAGATTTATTTTGGAAATTATTTTCATTATGACAACATCCTATTTGTTAGACTTAAAATGAATATCCTGGATAATGCAATGAAGTCGAAGAAGAGTGAAAATCTGACAGAGATTAAAACCCACTTCATCAACCCTAAATTAGTCACTATTACATCATGAGTAATATCGGAAAACTATATATAGTTCTGATGACATCTAAATAATGCTTTCGAATTGCTATCTAGTGGAGTTCAGAGTGCCGTAAAGAAGAAATCATTGAATCTTAAAGAATTTTTGAAAGATTATCTGCAACAATTTGTATTTTCTCATTAGAACTGGCTAATTGCGTATTATATTAGCTGTTTCTTGTAGTACAGTGAGCTAAATTAGTGGATAATGAACAAGGAAGTAGAATTACATATTCGAAAAAAATTAATGACACGCCTTTAAGATTGCTGTTTCCGTATTATCGGGTACAGAATAATTCTTCTAATACGAGTGCCTTTTTGAAAGAATTTTAATAACAGCTTTAAGATTGCTGTTTCAGTATCATTTAGTACAAAATAACTCAACAGTGTATTTTTTTTTTTCCGAACCTTACTAATTACCATTTACTTTCTTTAATTTTTTTTTTAAAACTCCAAATGAACCACCTTGATTAGGATGAATGAGAAACCGGAACATCCAAAGATGGAATAACAGAGAATGAAGTTAAGAGCCGCACGATCTTTGTAAACGATAATGCAATTAGATCTAAAAATCAACTCAGCATGAAACAATATGAGAAAATTATAAGATAATAATGACATCTTGGTCTCTGTAAATTTTCTGACAGGTCAAGTTCCGCAACGGAGACAAAAGATAATGAACCCACCCCGTAATCATCCCTTAAGACGTCTCTTCATCTCTCACTGTCAACAAATGATAGGGTTCTCTAATACTGATTAGCTCGGCACATCATACAGCGGAATCGGTTATCAATTTATAATTACGATGTTCTAGTCTTTCATCGCAGATTTCTCTAAACTTATACAGGGCTCTTTAAGTAATTCTTTCTTTTCAACTCCGGGATAGGTTTTTCTTCTTATGGTAAAAATAATTAATTTTTTTCCTTTGAAAGATCTCGGTTTTCTGCCCTGAGGCTATTAGTATTTTTGTAATTATAATATCTGCTGTCTCTTGGGAGATCAACTTCAAAAGGACAATGTCTACTTCTTTACAGACATCAATTACTTCATACAGATTTTCTCAGGTAAATCATAATTTTAAAACTTACATTGGTTAGAAACCAGAAATTAAGAGTACAAGTTGGGAACTTCAAATATAGCTTGACTTTTGACACCAAATTTAAAGTGATTTTGATTTTTAAAAAAAGGGTCATCTTGGAGGTACAGATTCCTATTGAATATAGTGATACTGTGTATTTGTCCTCGCCCAAAATGAAAAAAAAATAAATGAATGACTATAAATATAACTCTCCTTACGTTGGTGTAAAAATAAAAAAACCTTCCATCACTTTAAAGACGGGAAAATTTGGGATTATAGCCCATGCCTTTCCAGAGAAATAAAATTCAAATTCATTTAAAAAAGCAAATGGTGGATTATCCCTTTTAATTGGATCGACATCTCTCTTTTCTATTTGCATATAGATTGAACAAAAACTTTTAAATTGTAACAATGCAGAATTGTTGACATATTCAGTTTTTATCAACGAATTAAATGCATAGTTTTGTAATTTGATTGGCATGTTAAAATTGATGACCCATCTTGGTCTTAAAAAGAAAACACGGTACATTTTTTTTCACATGACTGCATAATGGAGATTATGTGTACTAACTTTTTTATAATGTAATCAAGCAATAACTGCTACGAGATCATGACATTTATCCTAAAATCGTCTGACAGGTCTTCCTGAACACAGGACCACACACAATTATACCATTCACATGTTCTGTTAATTTTCTTAATTACTGTCAACAATCAAACTGGAATTGTTTATTTATCTAAATTATCTCTGATTATTCTAGGAGTCTGGGTGTCCGACTCTCAATCCTCCAAAGTATAATGCTTTCAACATTTAGTTGTGACAGGTGGCCAATGCAATAGGGATGCAAAAAGGGGGTATTTACAATAAAATAATAAAAATCTCTCAAGAAAAAAATCATGCCTTGCAGTTCCCCCTTTTTTCTGGTGAATATATTAAGTGGGGGATTTTCTCGCTGCGTTGAAGATGCACTGGTGGCCTTGGGCTGTTTTCTGCTCTTTGGTCGGGTTGTTGTCTCTTTGACACATTCCCTGTTTCCGTTCTTAATTCTATTGCTTGTTTGTTTCAGTTATTAAAACCACTTTCAGCACTCAATTAGCTATATCATAAAGGGGTGAATGAAAGTCTATGAAAGTGTCAAATTTTGTAATGTCCAAAAGGGTCCTGCTATTAGGAAATAAAGAATTTGAATTTGAATATTCATCATGGTGACACAATAATTCTTGACACTGGCAGAATCCTAAATACCCAGAGAGAAACACCAACCTTCCAATTCCTTCTTGATCAGAGTAGTGTTCAGGCAGGCTAATTTTAAAATCACTATAGACTAACCATGATATATAAATCTTTATTGTCATATAAGTAAAACATGATACTATAATGTGACAAATACAAATGATAAAAACAACAAATGAACTGATTTGACAAATAAGACCACTCTGCCAATATAATGTATGAATTTATCAACTTCATGAAAAAAATAAGAACCAAAGTAAAATTTAACTGAAACAAATTAATATTTCATCTTTTTTATAATTTAATAAAGGACTTGTGAGTTTGAAAGTCCTTAAGACTGTAAAAAGTCATATATGCAAGAAATAATATCAATACTTATTAAAGAAGCAAAGTGCAAATATATGACTAGATATAAAAAAAAAAAGACATTATTATGGAAACCTAATGAAGTCAAATAAATTTTATGTTCAACTGATGAGATAAATTAACATTTGGACATAATAGTTGAATTAAGCCAGTGTCCATTGAATTTCCAAAATAAGGAACAAAAATCTTCTTTCTTTTTTTGGTAATCACATTTCAAAATATTTAATCGGGAAATCTGCATTTTGAAAATTAAACCTTATCAAATGACATACGTGTCACACAACACTTTGTAATTTTGACTAGAAGTTGGTTAAGCTGGCATTATAAGCATGTAAGTTATTTCTCTTGTAAAAAGTTCAGCCTGTCACTCCAGGATAAATAAAACTTCTTTCACAGATTTTGCCAACATTCCGATAGAGTGACAATTTTGGCTCCAGCAGAGAAATTGACACATACAAATGTCTTACAATACAGCATGTGACAATGATACACGGCTGACACGCTGTGATATAAACGAAAATAATATATATGTCGACTGCTATGGAGGGTGACAATAATTTACACATTTTGCCAACACATGATATATCAAAATATGCAAATGACAATTATTACACGTCTATACATAAAAACATTACATAATAATTAATTAATTTCTACATTAATATTACTTAATTCATTTCACCTGACAAGGTTTGGCTAAAAAAGCTTTTCTAATTAATGAGCTTTCTCTGGCGTACAGTGACGTGACGGTACTCACTTTTTGGTCAGATCATTTTGCAGGTCTGGCATATTTAGTCACAATATATGGGCAGTTTCCTGGATGAGGAAAATTGGTTATTTTATAACAGTGAAAAATCTAAATTAAGAGCTTGTACAAAGTCATTAGTCTTGACCATGTGTTGCTTGTTGTCTTTGTTTGTGAGTCCGTTTGAGTTGGAAGTTGATGGTTGGTGTGGTCTGTTACATGACCTTCCAGTATATTTTGCGATTCCTGTTAACCCTAATTCGTGTATTTTTTATCGAAAACAAAACTTTAAAGGATATTCAATATTTAAATGTCTCAAATTAAGTATTAATTGATTTTATTAAATATATCAGTTAACTTAACTTAAACGATGCAATATGACAAATTTCAAGCAAGTTCAATCCAGAATATTTACAGCTCTGAAAATGAATCTTAATTAAGTGAGAGAGATTTAAAAAAAAAAACTCTCTATAAATGACAACTGTAAATTTGATTCACAAAGCATTTCAACTACTGTACATATATAAAATAAGGAGAAGTGGTATGATTGCCTGAATGAGGCATCTATCCACCAAAGATCAAAAGACATGAATACAGGCAACTAT